CACATCTCAGAACCTTCAGGTCAAAATATGCCGCGAAGTGTCTAGGGCCCAGTATAAAGGGTGAATAAGTTCGCGGGACATCGGCGGGTCCTTATATACCTGCAGTACCTAATACTCTTCAATGGAAACATAGGTTTTAGCGTTCTCGTTACTTACTCGTGGTTAAATTAATTTCGTAGGGATTAAAAATCAGGTTGACCTGTGGTCGTAGATTAAAAATAACCATAGTACAGCTAAATTTATCGTGATAAATAATTCTTTTTACACGAATCAAAAATGTATTCAACGTTTGTTTGTTATAATATCGTGAAATGAATTATTTGTGTAGTTCTGTGCATTTTCTGTGTAGTTCAACCTAATTTACTTAAATTTACGTTGCCAGACAGTACGATATTTACAATTCTGCCTGAATTTTTGAAATTCAGAAAAACACTGGTAAACTTCCATTGCATTTAAACGATATTCTTCACCAAACTGGACAAAGTACAGTAACATTTTACTGTCACTAGTGGAATCGACCCTACATTTTACTGACAATTGTGGAATCGACCCTACATTTTTTTTTTTACGTGGAGGTAGGCCGACTCTATGTGATAAACAATTGGCAATAAAACGGTGGCTCTCCCTCTACATTCGACGGATAATGTGTACAGGTATTTAATGTAATTTCTTAGCAATTTGTTTTTGTAATTCATACAAAGCGATATATTATGAAATTAAATTAATCACTCAATAAGTATTAAGAGTAGATTGTTTCCTCGATATGGCCATGGTGGTCATCAGTGACTGGAGTGTGTCTCAAATGTTTAGAATAATTAAAATAAAATAAATGTTGTCAACTAAAAATTTTGAACGCCATAGCTAGCTAGACATTATTTTCAATTGAAAAAAAAAATAGTCGGTTCTTGTGGCCGCCTGAAAGCAACCTGTAAATCTGGCGCGACAGTGAACGTGTTAATAAGGAAATGTTGTTCAAATTATGTCGTGTTTGATGTTATTTTCATCAGAAAAATCTCATCAATATGTTCAGAAAAATTTCGGGATAAAAAAACGTAAAATTAAAAAAATTGATATTTACAACGCTTGGTTGCCTCGACTGACGTTTCATGCTTATCGTTTATTCGCTGTCTTTGTCTACGTTCAGCAAACTACAAAGGCGTGCGCGATGCTCGAAAACGTAGTCCCTGACTCTACAAGTGTCAGGTTTAGTTTCCTTGCGGTCTGACGCTTGTGGAGAATATACTGTATATGTATTCTTCTACTGTACGTTGTAGCAGACAACGATGTGCATTTAAACGTGCATAATAGTACGACTTCAAAATGACCTTGATCTCTAAAATTTTAAATCAAACGTGAAACTTCCTTTTATTTTTTGCCATTTTTTCCGTCAAAGAAATTTGTCTTCTATCTTATTCACCCGTTGAAATCATTTAAATTACCTATAAAAATTTTCTCGTACCACCATAGCTAGAGGAGATAATTAGGTGACTTGTATTACGTGGCACACCCTGTATATAAAGAGGCTCCGAAGATCTTAGAAACATTAATGAAAGAAGGGAATGAGGCCGATACAGAACTGAATAGAAAGGCAACTGTATGGCTCAGGAATTGCAGACTTAAGGTACAATTGAGATTTTATTATTTTAGAAACAAAAAATCAGTAATCGAAACTTTAAACGCGTTTTTCTCAGAATTACATTTTTAAAGTCGGTACTGTCCATAATTTCTGTAATTTTCATCCAATTCACGTGAAATTTTCACAGAATACCCTCTGTTATACACTATTTGCTAAAAAAATTGCAACACCTTAGAAGAGAAATCGCACCAATCTGAAATTTACATGTAATGTTTGAGGTATTGAAAGGGAAGAATGATTAAAATTTGGTTAAAAAGGTCTTATTTATTATAAAATGTCATTTTTTCCTCAGAGTAGTTCGAAAAACGTGATTTCCAGATTTGTGCAACCCCACTTTCCAGGTGTTACAATTTCTTTGGCGAGCAGTGTATAATCTAAAAACGCACGTAGGATATTTGCAATATACTGAAAACTTTTTCTGCAATCAACATTTTTATACAAAAATTCTAAGGAAAAAATGCAATTCCTTCATACGTTCACCATTTCTATAAAACTCAATAGTTTCTAAAAATCCTGTGTACTTCTTTAGTAATTACCATATACAGTAGTGCACACATAAGCGTCCGCAGTCGGGACCGAATGCGGACGCTTAAGTGGGGAGGTGACTTCTGCGAATTTAACTAAACAAAAGAGAGGAGATGTGTCTGAGTGGGATACCGATATATCAAGTGTCAGTTCTTCACATTCAGGAGTCGATATGGAATACTTTGTTTCACTCGGCACGCTCGAACTCCACACCGAAGTCCCATTTCCAAGAATTGGTGGGGATAGCGACGGACGCTTAAGTGTGCAAAAATGCGGACGCTTATGTGTGCACTACTGTAGATTATAAAAATTTTGGATATTTTGCTCTAAGTCAAACCGTGTGGCAGTAGGGGACAACACCGTGGGGGCGTTTGTAGCGCCGCCATTTTGTAAAAAAATTAAATGAAAAAATACTACTATATTCTCTAAGGATAATATGATAAAGCCCTTATGAAGAATTTTCGATTGAGTAAATTATCTTCTTGACAAAAAAAATGCCAAAGTTAGGTATCATTTTCAGGCTTCAGGGGTGGCCTAATCCCTTAATTAAAAAGACATACTTACATCTACATAAGACGCGTTAACGTAATCGGAGTCGGGCTCGCCCTCGATCGTATCCAAAACCACCCTGTTGTAGTCATCTGTGCTCGGAAAGGAAATTGATACACGTCAGTGACAATATTAATTATCCCTTAATTACTCGCGCTATTTAGTTGCACGTACAGTTACTCTTAAAAATATTCGAACGTTAAGTAAGATTGACTTTCTATCGATGTATTTCGGTTAATTATAAAAGGATTAATTTTTCATTCAAATATAAATCCTAAAAATTTCAAATCTACAAATCTCGGCAATCCGAAAATTCAAAAAAAATGTAAAACTTTGCAGAAATGTAGTTTAAGTAACGCTAATTACGAAAGAAAATGTTGTTTCAGTAAAGGAAACGGTCCTAGAGGTGATAACATCCGGTCAAAAAAACTGTAAATATTTACGAAACCGTACAAGATATGGAAAAAAAACTAAAATTAGAATTTGTCGGGTTTTTGATGTCATACAGAAGATGGTTTCGTTATTAACGTCATTTAAACTACATTTCTGCAAAGTTTCAAATTCTTTTAAATTTTCGAGTACCGAACTGCCCTTGCCAGATTGCAAAAACTTTTAATTCACATACTGACATTTTTCTTTTCTAATGTGGCGGTACCTCCTACACTCCACCACCAGAGCGACGGACTAACGACCAATTCTCGCTAGTCCTCGTTGTAGACTCTCGTTTGTATACAGGGTGACAAGGAAATAGGTGACCAAACTTTGATACCGTATTCTACCGTTCCTAAAGATGAGAAAAAGTTATTTAACATAGGTCCGAAAACTGTTCCTTTCCGAGATATAGACACTTTTTGTTTACATGGAAAATTCATTAAAATATAATAGCTGTCAGACGTAGAATTTCAAGCAGTGTCATAATTTCTTTTGCTAGAAGTGTATAATATGTTAGAACAAGTTATGTCGACACGATAATGTTTACGTACTGTTTATGATAGTAACACTATTGATAGCCTGGAAATACGCAAAAAACCGGATTATTGCTGCATGTGAAGAAATTCGGAATACACAAAGAATTTTTTAACGTCTTCGGCGGTCTTTAAGTAAGTTTTAAGCGTTCCTACAATACTCCATCATAATCGAAAAGTGTTCACATCTTGCAAAGGAAGAGTTTTCGAACTTACGTTTACACGACCTTTTTTATCCTTAGTAACAGTAGAAAACGGTATCAAAGTTTGGCCACCTACTTTCTTGTCACCCTGTATATACAACTTCCAATCTCAGTCTAACAGTCCCCCCGTGTCTAAGCCACAGGTCTCTTAGGTAGCCGTACTGCCGAGTCCACTATGAGTCCCAGGACGAAACGTACACAACCTTTCCTCTTCCGCCTATCCTCTCTATCTCTTTCCTCCTACCACAACCTAACATACACTAATTTCGAACATTTCAGACATTCACCGCCACTCAATAGGATAGCCAACTTGTGAATCTATCCTGCTTTCTTTTTCACTGTCTCTCATTCCACGACAATATTATTAAATTTCGAATCCGAAAATGTTTACCACACACTATAGTTACTTCCAAAGCAATCCGTATCCTCGATCAATCAATCTTCCGTATAACAATCTCCATTCACTGTATCGAATTCCCGCACCTTTAATTACCGCACTGCCTACCATAACAATCTCTGCGAGTCTCTGAGGGACCAGAAACAGTATAGCAGAGCAACAAAGAGTTTGAAAAATAAACCAGCTGAATCGCGGTTTTTTAAACAAAGAGAAAACGGAAACTGCCCAATTTCCGGTTCAGCCCCGAAAGCCTCGTTAAATTGCTGTTCGCGTGAACATTTTCACCTACATGTAACCGTATCAATTTCGAGGAAAACGTTATTTCACCACGTTGTTCTGATTTGCGTGTGTAGAAGTGCGGGAATGTTCGTATCGCCCTTAACTTTTCTCAGTGGTCGTGCAACTTTGGTACCCTTCTCTCTGTTCTTGTTGCGAGGTATGCGTACGAATGGCGCGAACATAACCGCATTTCCTAATTAGAGCCGTCGTGACCGGAATTTTTCGTTCTGGTGAATAATTAAAGCTAGCAGTAACGACACGTGAGATTGTGTGCGGTTGCGAGCGAAGCGACCTCGAAATCAAAGGCTTCGGGGGACGAAAATGGTGGCGCGAGAACGACGAGAAATGGTGTAAAGTGCACTTGTGAATGAAAAGTTTCGGTAAGGTAAATTGAATGGCTGGTTATTTATGTAATAACCAGTTTAATTGAGTATTCGGTTATCCGTATACACTCGGTGAAAAACAGTATCCGTACACCTCATTGAAATTTACTTTGCGTTGTATAATTTTTAACAGAGAAATTGCAGATGAAACGACCGAGGTGTTAATGAAACTTTCAACGTGTATAGTTTTAGTAGAAATATAATATTTATTCGAAGTATGATCTACTTGCATCGTTATTTATGTCTTTCTTAAAAAGGAAACAATTTATTTTTATTAACTAAAAAGTGATCAATGGAATTTGATCTTGATCTATGGCTGGGTTTCCCAAACTTTTCCTGCGATGGAACACTTCTTAAATCCTGAAATTTTAACGGAACACCTTGTTTATTTTGTAGGGTAGGTAGTAACACATAATCTATAAAATTTTTAAAAATGAGGAAGAAGACTTTAATTATATTTAATGTATAGTTAATGTAGGTGTATAATGCGAGGTACGAGGTAACGACATTTTTTAAACAATGTTATTGTATTCACTGAATACTTAATTTTTTAGACATTTTAGAGCATTAATCCGTGAATAATTTTTGAATTTCTTGTAGCCGTTGCAGGATATAAAACAATTCCAGGTTTTCGCGGAACATAGTTTGGGAATCCCTGATCTACGGTTAACTTTCGCATACAATTTTCCATTCAATAATAAAATAATCGACGAATTTGGGCTAGCTTCGAGCTTTAAAGTAATCTACTTAGAATAAATTAATGTGTGCTATCTGAAATTCTCAAATCGGCAATAGTAAATAATTAATATTTACGTTATTCTATTTAGAAACATAACATTTACTACTAGTGTCGCGTCGCGTTCTTTTGCGATGTTCAACAGGAAGCTCGCGGTCGCGACTGTAACCCGCCAAATTAATCTTGGGTAACTAGTTCAAAATCTACTTTGCTCGAACGTTAGCGAAACGTAGAGTGCGTCACGAACGATTGACGACTTTGTTTCAAAGACTCGAATTGTACTTGAACGGCTGGAGAGAGTATTTTGTTCACACGAAGGAATCTTTCGAATGTGTTGTGTCTCCTCGAACGGTTCGAGATCTAGTGGTGTTCGCTCGATGCAACCTTTTCTGAATCTGCTCGCTCGATTCCCGAATTTTTCTGGAGTCCGCAGTGACTCCCCCGCCAAGTGCAAAAAGGCACGCTGATTGGTTTTTCACGTACGCACAAATTACCAATCAACGTGCCCCTTGAGTGTCACCCACCCTTCCATTGCGCCCTTAGCGCGCTTTTCCTCGGAAGGAGTGGGGCCCTACCTGCGGATGCGTGGAATCTTCGCTGTCCTTCCGTGACGCGTCGGAAATTCCCGTCAGGTCAACCCTCGGCCGAAAGTGCCGTTATACGCGCGTGTGGATTGACCTTCAGTAATACCTGGTTTATGACACGTCTTCGGTTATTGAGGACGCGGGAAAGTCGAAATTCTAAAGGCATTGTTCTGTAAGAAATTACTTATTTTTTCACGGGGCTACGAAGTTCTCAAAAATAACCTTCTCGTGCGAGCGTGCCATAAAACCGGCCAACGAAGACCCCATGCGTTCCGTACCTGCGCGACTAACCTTAAGATTGATTAAGTAACTGAATAAAGTTTCAAATATTATTGCAACTTGGTAAAAAATATATACCGTAACGATTTAGTATTAATAATAGTCGTATTAAATGATTGCCACTTACAAGGAATACACTTTTGGTTTTGGTTCTTCTCTTTGTTGGATGGTTTCATGGCGTGTCTGCATGAATGTGTCTCCACTTTCGTCGCTGTCTGTGAACAAAGGAAATTATTCTAAAAATATCAGGTGTTACATGTGAAACATTAAACGGAACGTTCAATCACATTAATCTTCCTTTTAATGTTAACATCTTTAATATTCATTTTACCATTAGACACGTTTATTATCTTCATATCCGTGACGGTTGAAAGATTTTAATTAAAACTATCAACGTACTTCCAACAAACACGATAATGAGAGGCAAGTGACATTGTTGGCAGTGGAAACAAAGTTTAAATTAAACGTTCTCGATTATTAATGAACCAGGCGAAATTACTGGTGACAGCATGTTCGAATTTCATAAATTTCGTTTGCAATTCACCGTGCACACGTCCACCGCGTATATACAATCATTAATATCAGAGTTACTAGTTATACGTGATTTCTACATGCTTCTGAATGCTGCAGACTGCAAAATTTGCGCGGGGTATACTGCAAATGTTTAAACTTGATTGCAAATTACTCATATAAGTTTAATATATTTTTTGTTGAAGAATTAAATACATAAATCGATAATGTATACCTATTGTACCCTGTGATGGCGTGCAATCGACACTTCACAGATTCACGTGTGCTACGAAAAGTAGCACGTTTCACTTGTCTCACGAAAAACAGCACGTGTGTCTTTATTGTCACGACAAATATCACGTTTCGTTTTTCGTCGCGAAAAGAAGCACATTTGAATGACTGCTTATGAAAAAAAAGATATTTGGCTTTGTGTCGTAATAACCGGCAAGATTTAATTTTTTTTTTGGACCATGCAAGTCAGATATGATCGAATCTACTCTAGTCAGAATTTTGTCCCGGTCTCATCATAATATACAGTATTGCTCGCTTAACTGACGCAGAGCTCAGGTTCGTGTCACGACTGTTATCGAGGGAGGTATGTGTTCTGGAAATTGTCGGTTGTTATTTCTTTTCTTTTTCGTTTTAGAGATGAGACGGAGTTATTATTTATTAAACAATATTTTCAAAGCATTTGAATGCATTTTCAATGCATTTTAACAATTTAAACTGATCACACACTGAAATGTGTTAGTTCTCACCGTAAAATCCAAAATGTGCTATTCTTCGTGGCGAAACAGTATAATGTAAGTACCTATTACTTTTCGCGAAAATCAAACGTTAATATTTATAAAAAATGGTGAAGTGTGCTTTTTTACGTGACTGTTACGGGTTACGCTTGTTGTGTCCTCACACGGAGTGTAATATTGGTTTGGGTTGGTGGACCGGTCAGAACGTTCACCGTATGAGGGGTACTCCAACAAGTCCGATAGGATTGGAACCTTCGACGCATGTGGTTACTACGCCGTTCTCCGAAGGATGGAAAAGGTTTGGTGGTTGTGAGGACAGTGCGTATCGTAATGTCGGATATACCTCGAGCGGTAAAGATATATCCTTTGTGAGTTTAACTGATTCGTTACTAATGTTACGAGGAGATGGTTAATTGAATATAGGCTTCGAGCGGTAAAGATATATCCTTTGTGAGTTTAACTGATTCGTTACTAATGTTACGAGGAGATGATTAATTGAATATAGGCTGAAGCAATTCTATAGTAACTATATTCTAATAATAATTAAGGAGTTTACAAAAGTTTACAATGGTCTAAAGATAAATTATAATGGTTGATTCTTGACTGAGCAAGAATCTTCCTTCTTGACTTTACACGGCGAGTACGCGGGGACGTCGTAGATAAGTATGTCTAGTTGACACTTACGAGATAAGTATTGCACTCAGTTGCTTGAAAGGGAATTCAGCCCGATCTTGCTTGTGTCAAACGGCGACTATACGGATACTGCTCTACTTTAAAGTTCAGAGTGACTCTGCCCAGTGACTGCCCCGGAAATCATGCCCTTATATACCCAAAAATCTGTATTTTTTGGGTGGTGAGGGCCCTAATTTTCCCATGAGAACGAAACGCGTTCGTTCATTTTATCTCAAGGGGGTGAGCCCTAGGCGGATGTCTCGGCGCCGCCGTGTCGGCAAGTCTGCGTATGTAACATGACAAACTGACACGTGGTGTTCTTCGTAAAAGAAACGAAACGTGATGCTTTTCATAACGAGATGGTATCGATATGCATGACGTCTTCTTGCGTTGTGTTATTATTAAAGGTGGAGAAATATTAACAGCCGTAACTATCGATAGTTGCTGATGGTTTAATACCCAATCTCCGATATATCAAATTCTATAAAAAAATTTTTATTCAAAGAGATCTTTGTAGTTAATTATTAAAAATGCTAAAATTTGATTCTAATTTTGTGTATTTTTAAGAAAAGTTTAAAGAAAGATGAGAAATCATAAGTTTCAAAAAATTAAGCTTGAAAAATAAATTTTTATTTCTCGTATATTTAGAAGAAGTTTACAATATATGTATAAATTTATAGTACACCAAATATTTACAGCATAAGAATGTTGACATTTTGTGCTTTAACCCCTAATCTTCTACCCGATTTTATTTAATACTTTGCCATTCTTACTATATATTTAAAATTTAAATTTGAATTGGCACGCTGTACACACGTATCATGAGATTCCCGTAAGCAATTACGGTTCCATTGCAGTTACGAGATTGATTGGAATAGAACCGGCAACGGGAAACCGTAATTGCTAACCTGTAGTATGAAGCTGTGTCTTCGCTATACATATAACACAACAGTGCTATAAAACAAGTTGTTTTATATCTTTTGGTATTATAGTAACGAGTTTGTAACAAGTTTGTATTCCTTCCCTTTCTCAGCTCTCGTTAAGATTGTCCAATCAACATTCTAATTTATTTTTTCTATTTCGGTTGAATCCATCTTCATATCAATATCTAATTCAACTCACGCAACATGCTTCTTACTTCTGTCTTTCAAGTTCATACACGAACGGTCCCTTCCTTCATCTATTCCATTTTATAATTGCAGAAAACGATATCGAACAATAAATTAATGTTTTCCGGTCAAGGATAAATAACAGCTAGAATGAGATGATAAACCATTTGCATATGGTAGATGGAAAATGTTTTATAACCACATCATATTAGTTTGGACCGATTGGCAACAGGTCATACAACAATGTTTTATAACTATCCTTGATCTTTACCGACATTTGATGGATAATATATAACTTGCTATATAACACGAAAAATGTTATTTAACATAATGTTATATAACATTTTTCTTGCTCTGTTTTTAACAAGTTTTATAACTTGAGGTGGGTGAGGAACGCCGTTGCACTGTTTTCACCTCAATTTCCCGACTAGAAATTTCAGTTAGGCAGATATTAGGTCCGCATTAGGCTAGCCTAATTTACTTGTTAGGCCCGCATGCGGTATGTAACGCGGAATATTCACGGCCGCCTAATTGGGAAAGCCGCGTTAGGGCCGCATTAGGCTTTCCCAATGACTATCCAACGAGGCAAACCGCATTAGGCCCATATTAGAATAGCTTCATTAAGCTAAGCTCTCTTATGGCGACCTAACCTCTACACACAAGCGTACGTCCAACACTAAGATGTCCGTAAATATTCCTACATATAAGTTTGAGAGCCGCACTCCACCTAATTTAGGTGTGCGCTCGGCCATCCCCATTTCAGCCACGTATGGCAACTGTTAGGAATGCCCAACTTAAGCGTGCGCTCGGCCACCCCCATGTGGGCCACGTATGGCAACTGTTAGGAATGCTCAACCTAGGCGTGCGCTCGGCCACCCCCATTTGGGCCACGTATGGCAACTTTTAGGAATGCCCAACTCAGGCATGCATCATTCCTTCTGAATTAGGACCTAATGAGGTAACGATTAGACTTGCAACATTTAGGTATGCCTAATCGTTTCCGCATTAGGCCCACATTCATCTTTAGGCATGTCTAACTGAAATTCTAGTCGGGTCATTTCAGCCACGTATGGCAACTGTTAGGAATGCCCAACTTAAGCGTGCGCTCGGCCACCCCCATGTGGGCCACGTATGGCAACTGTTAGGAATGCTCAACCTAGGCGTGCGCTCGGCCACCCCCATTTGGGCCACGTATGGCAACTTTTAGGAATGTCCAACTCAGGCATGCATCATTCCTTCCGAATTAGGACCTAATTCGGATTAGACGATTAGACTTGCAACATTTAGGTATGCCTAATCGTTTCCGCATTAGGCCCACATTCGTCTTTAGGCATGTCTAACTGAAATTCTAGTCGGGTTATTAAGATCTAAGTGTGATGGTCGGCGTACAATTCGCCTGGAAAATACAATCGTTTTATTCGTTAATTGTTCCTGCGGCAGCGGTTAGGCGAAAAATCTGAAGGAGTTGGAAAAGAAAAAGTTCGCGTGGAAGAATAGAACAAGGTTCGGTAAGGGCTTATTGGTAGTGACGTGTTAGGTTATATAGTGCGAACGCAGCTTGACACGGTACGTCGCGATGGTTGGTAAAGGAAAAACTGAACTGGAGGTGTAGGCGTACTGGGTTTTTATATTGTTAGAACAGGGAGGCAGATGTAGAGATAGATAAAGATAGAAGTGGAAAATTTGTAGAAAGCGGGGCCGTTCGTCCTCGTGCAAACCTGGATTCCACATGTGCGCTTCTTAGGCTACTCGAGGACGAAGGCAAGTCTTAACCCGGGGAGAGACAAAAGAACGGAAACTAAAATCTGAAGGAGTTGGAAAAGAAAAAGTTCGCGTGGAAGAATAGAACAAGGTTCGGTAAGGGCTTATTGGCAGTGACGTGTTAGGTTATATAGTGCGAACGCAGCTTGACACGGCCCTATGGGTCCTATATATGGAAATATGGTCCCAATCACAAAATAAAAATATTGAAACTATCTTTTAGTGAACGGCACTAATATGCCTCGTCCAGAAGGCGATGGGTTTATGCTACGGACGCCAAGCACAGCTATTTTTGAGGAACTTCTAATTAAAAGAAATTTTTACTATTGTTAGCCGTTCGAGTCAGACGTTAGGGTCTAGAAATTCGTTTATGGCAGCAGAAGGTCCACTTCTCAGCTTACTTCTGCTCACTCAATA